AAAAAAAACAGTTAACAGTTATTAACAGAGGATGTCTGTTTTTTTTTTGTTTTTTTTTTTAAGAGGACCCCCAAAATATTCAAAAAATAATTTGGAAAAAAGTACTAGCTTTTCTATAATATTTCTCACACAGTATAGATGAGATTATGTATTGTGTATATATACTGTATATTATATTTTATGAATCAGGGACCTCGCAAGGGGATCATATTATTTTGGGGTTCTTGGGTTCAAATATTTGAAAACCCCTGACTTATGAACTAAGTTTAGATTTTTAGTACAAATTGTGCTAAAAAAATACAAATTACTTCATTAATCAGTTCGGATTAAATTTATGTTAATTGAAAGGATTCAACAGTAAAACCCAAACCCTAATTCATCACCAAAATTTAAAAAGAATTTAAAAAGTACAGATTCTGGCAATAAATTATTTCTAGAGAAGTTCTACTTTCTATACCTTCTGCAATTATTAACAGTGGTTGTCTGTGATTTCTCAGAGGACCCACAAGTTATTAAAAAAAAAAAAAAAAAATTCCATAAGTAATTTTCCATATTTTTTTTCTGAGCTTTTGGGGAGGAAAAATAACCCCCTGTTTGATTCAAATTAAAATCGCAAAATGTTGTCTTCATAATATGTCATATTGTCTTCATAATATTTTTTAGCCATTGACTTCCATAGTATGGAAAAGAAAAATACTATGGAAGTGAATGGCTACCGTCAAGTTTTGGTTGCCAACATTCTTCAAAATATCTTCTTTTGTGATCAGCAAAAGAAAGAAACTCATACAGGTTTGAACCCAGTGGAGGTTGAGTAAATGATGACAATTTTTATTTTTTTTTGGTGTTAACTATCCCTTAAAGCACAGAAATTATTCTAAAATACAATCTATTTTCATATGTCTGAGAAACACAAATTTACCTGACCTATACTCAAAGAAACTTGTCCCATCCGAACAGAGCTTAAATATAGGTGTGATTTTTAAACAATTCAAAAAACCCTTGTCATTTAAAAAGCAGCAGCCTTACTTTTGAATTCTAGATTCGTAAGTCTGTTTCTGCTTCCTCAGCTCTTCTTTCAGGTCTTCCACGACGCTGGCCAGGGATGAAGGGCCTCCGTTTGCATCTGTGTCTTCGTCCACGACTCTAATGACCGGTGCTACGTTCCCATTGTCACTGCAAAACAATCCGCTCGCGCGGTTCTCCACAGCACTGCCGACGTCGTCCTCTTGTTCGCTGGGCTTTGCTTCCTCCTCGCTCCGTTCCTCCTGAGCGCTCGCCTCCGTCTGAGGCCCATCTTCTGTCCCTAACGGGTCGCTTCCAGAGTCTGGGACGGAGATCTCACACGATGAGGAGGACCACGGCGTGCTCTCCATACTCAGCACGCTGCCCAGACTCTGAGAAGACGTGACGTTGTCGTAGGTAGACAGTCTCTGAGAGGAGCCCGAATCCCTGGAGCGTTCGCCGGACGAGGTGCGGCGGTGTCCCCTTAGCGAGGACAGCCCGTTCATGAGCCAGTTCCCGCTGGAGGCCGTGGACACGTCCACCGCGGAGCCACAGACTTTTGTGGACGGCGGCCGGGGAGAGGAGCCTTTGAAGGTGTACTTCCATCCTGGAAGCGTCTTGGCCTGCTTACTAGGGCTGACGGCCGTCTCTCCCTTTCCCTGAGGCACCGGCTTGGAGGTGATAGCGGCGTCCGCAGACGAGGCACTGCTGCTGGTAGGGTTGTCATTCTTACAGGTCTGCAGATCCTCCTCAGAGATCCAGTCCACCAGCTTGGACTGCTGATGTGGTTGGCTTTGGTCCTTTACCTCCATCTGGTTCTGTGATGTTTCTGAGTCTTTTTCAGTATACAGGCGATCATGCTTGCTGATGAGTAGCGTCATGAGATGCTGAACAAGCGAGGTGCCTGGAAAACACACACACACACACACACAATGCTGTATTCCCTCATGCTCATCTATAAGTGATGTATAAGTATTTGGTGGTGCACTAAAAAAAGGTAGGTCTAGAAACAATTTTACTCAGAAATCGCTAGTAAATTTCACAATTAATTACAAAGAAATGGCAAGTAAAACACTGAATTAAATGTGACATTTTAAGTAGAAATACTGAAGTAATATTTTCTTGTAAAACAATAATCTTTGTATAATCTTAATAATCCAATAATATTTGCTTTATTTACAACTTCGGAAAATATTTTTTTACAGCGTGGAGAAACAGTTCTTACCCAGAAATTTCTAGTAAATTTCACAATTTTTTTTTTTTTTTACAAAAATCAGCAAATAACACATTGAATTATATGTGAAATTAATATTAGTAATGAAATTAGTAGAAAGACTGGAATAGTATTTTCTTGTAAAATGTACTCTAATAATGTTCGTTTTAGTTACAACTTAAAAAAAAAAATTATATATATATTTACACTGTAGTTTGTAACTGTGCTTATTTTTGTTGCATCATTAGTTCTTAAGACAGAACTTAATCTTTAAGTAAACGTGTAGTTGCACATTATGATATATTTTCATGAAAATAGTGGCACAGGGTCAAAATTGTACTTCAGAAAATATTTTTTTACAGCGTGGAGAAACAGTTCTTACCCAGAAATTTCTAGTAAATTTCACAATTTTTTTTTTTTTTACAAAAATCAGCAAATAACACATTGAATTATATGTGAAATTAATATTAGTAATGAAATTAGTAGAAAGACTGGAATAGTATTTTCTTGTAAAATGTACTCTAATAATGTTCGTTTTAGTTACAACTTAAAAAAAAAAATTATATATATATTTACACTGTAGTTTGTAACTGTGCTTATTTTTGTTGCATCATTAGTTCTTAAGACAGAACTTAATCTTTAAGTAAACGTGTAGTTGCACATTATGATATATTTTCATGAAAATAGTGGCACAGGGTCAAAATTGTATTGTTGAAGGGAAAAAAAGCTGCATCGGTGTATAGCTGAATTTTTATTATTGCATTTAGAAATAAAATACACTGTAAAAATGTTGTTTAAAAGTTGTAAATAAAACAAATATTATTAGAGTATGTTTTAAAAGATTATTTCAGTATTGCTACTAATTTCATTCATATTAATTTCACATATAATTCAACGTTACGTGATTCATTGTAATTGTGAAATTCACTAGCAATTTCTAAGAGTGTAAATTGTACTGATAAATAAAAAAAACATTACATTTTTATTTATTTATTTTTACAAACACTATAAACATGTATCCTTTAAATTTAATGGTATTCAGAACAGAGCAAATAGTTGTGTACAACAAACATAAATTATATTGGCATTCATTATAAATAGCATTTATTGTAATCTGCAAGCCTAAACAAATGTATTTAAAGCGTGTGGGAAATGCACATTTCAGATGATCAAAAAACACAATTTATATTCCGGAATTATTCTTTTTTAAATCCAAAGAGAAGCCTCCAAATTTGTAAACATAAATAATCATGAAATAAAATAATTAGTTTATTTAAATGTGCAAATAATATCAAAGAACTGTATCTAAAATAAATAAACAAACACTAATACATAAAACATGAGCACATCTGGACATAAATGTAGTTTATATGTGGCATTATGTTTCAGATTCAAAGTGTAATGGTACATGCTCAAATATAGTAGTGCATAGATTATAATTGCATTTATGCCACAAATATAAACTGTTTTATTCACAGCTGGTGCAACTGTCTCGCAGGTGTCTGGTTTTGAAGTGTGTTTATGTTTTACAAAGTAATGGGTTGGAAATTGGATAATAAGTGCTTACCTTCCATAATAGCTACTGGATCTTCCATTTTAGGACGGAGGATATTTGGTCCAAACACGGTGGCCAAGTTCTGCACACCCATTTTGTTTTCATTTGAGTGAGACTGCACCTCATCCAGAAATCTACAACGATGGAGTTCACTTTAAGCAGCAAAGCATGAAAACGACTGACAAAAATGTGTCTGAAATGATTATGTTGGACCTACTTGCATATATATTTCAGAAGGTTGTAATTGGCGGCTGGAAGGGTCGTCACTAGCTTCCCTAATTCTTGTATTCCCTGTGGAAATCATTGAAGCGACTTAAGCATCTCGTGGTTCGAATTCAAGGGAAATATTGACGTTTTTCACATTTAAAGAGAATCAGCCTTTTCTAAAAAATCTGAAAAGACAGATTATGTGCATAATGTAGGCCTAATCTGGGAATTAAACTTTGACTTGAGCTTGACGCATCCTCGGCATCTGTGCATCGCATCATGTCAGCTGTGAAATATGTGGGAGGAATATTGAAACTGTTTTATGAGCACACAAACATAACTGCTGAAATATTATGCACTAATGCCAGCAAACAAACTCTCTTAAGTATACAGGCCAGAGCATTCATATGATAATTCATTAAGCTTGTTCCAACACAGCAGCTGCGTCTTTTGGATTCGGTTTTATTGGTTTTCAAAAACGGCAAATGTTCGAAAGTCTGTTCAACACATCAGATGTGTTGTTATCATCTAAGTATTATTTTTCTATTTTTTGATTTTTGGAAATATTATCAGTAGGTTTATGACTACAAACCATAAACCAGAATTTATTTCCAAACTAGTTACAACTTAACTTAGAACTTAATGTTAATCATTCAAGTGCAGATTTTTTATTATTATTATTTTTTTTTTTAAATGTTTTTAATTTGACAAGTTTGATGTTTGCGAACCTGTGCGTAATAATATATTTTTTATTTTTTTAATTAATAACTTTCTTTGTTTTATACATCATTCATATACATCTAGCAATGTATATTACATATACATATTTGTATTTATACAGCTGTATATACAGTAAATAATGCATAAATCTGTACATACATCTTCTGTTCCAGATGTATACCACATTATTATTATTATTAAATTTTTTTATCCTTAGTCTTACTTATTTAAATGTTCTTTCTGTTCTCATGTCATATATGCATGTATGTATGTACCACAACAAATTCCTTGTGTTTGCACACGCTTGGTGAATAAAACTCATTCTGATTCTGATTCTGAAATAAACAATTGTGTTTAAATATTGCAAAGTTTTTAATAGGGGTCCAAAAAGTGTTAAGCACCTCTTTCCACCTCTTTGTTAACCTTTTTTCCCCCTTAATATTATAAATTTGACAAGTTTGATGTTTGCAACCCTGTGTTTCATAAAGTTATATATATATAAAAAAAAAAAAAAAGTTTTTCCTTTGAATTGAGATTATTTGTCTTACCACGTTAGCAGATTTTTTTTCTTGTTTTATGCAAAAAATAACACTTTATTTCTTTATTTATTTATTTTTCAGAAAACAAGGACATTCATATCTCAATATCTTAATACCTGAACTCATTTTGCTTCTCAAATAATTGTATATTGATTTAAGATTGTTTAGGGTTTTTTTATACATTATTCATATACATATAGCAATGTTTATTTATAGAAATTAAAATCACAAAGAATGTGTTTAGACATATCGCAGTTTTTAAGATGAGTGCAAAAAGGGTTAAGGCAAACTAACTATCCTCTAATGAGTGACAACTTAACTTATAACTTAATGTTAACTATTCTGGTGTAGATTTGTTTCTTAATGTTATACATTTTGACAAGTTTTATGTTTGTAACCCTATGTTTAATAATATTTTTTTTAAAAAATAATATATTTTATACATTATTCATATATATCTAGCAAAAATATATTCATGTATATCTATTGCAAAAAATAAAAAATAATATATTTTATACATTATTCATATATATCTAGCAAAAATATATTAATATATATCTATTGCAAAAAATTAAAAATACACTACATATATACATATACCAGTTTTAACATGGGTGCAAAAAAAGCCAAACTAACCATTCTGTTTTAGATTTTTTCCCTAATGTTATAAATTTGACAAGTTTGATGTTTGTAACCCTGTGTTTAATAGCATTTAAAAAAATTGACATTATTCATATACAACTATCAATATTTTTGCAAGAAAATAACTATATATATATATATATATATATATATATATATATATATATGCAAAAACAACCGTGTTTTGACATATTCCAGTTTTTAACAAGGGTGCAAAAAAGGTTAAGCACATCTTTCCACTGACCATTTCTAGAAAAAGAATTAGACACATGTAAATGTTTTCAAATCCATCTAAGGTTTGCTCCTTTCGTTTTTCTTCTCTACACTGCCTGTATGTTCAGATATCACGCCGTCACTAACCTCCTCCTCATCTTTGGCCAGGAGCTGAGCAGAAGCGAGGAAATCCTCATACTTGCAGAAGGGAACGACTGGCTCGGGCAGCTCCCTGAGATACAGCTTCAGCAGGGAAGCCACAGTGTGGACATCAGTGTTACTATAAATGGCAATTATAGGGTTAGTATGAACAGCTGATTGAACTGAGTTCATTGGTTGCACGTCTGTGCTCAGAGTAGTTGTACCTGTCAAACTGAGGTTTATCTCCACAGTCAAAGGCCTCCTGCAGCTCCTTCACAAGGTTTGCTTGTCCCGGCATCCGGAACAGGCCTTCTTCATCAAGACCCTGCTCCCTGATGAAATCCACACACTGCTCAACTAAGAGAGGGGCGAGACGAGGACCAAACTTCCTTTCATACTGTATGGTGTCTTCCAAACGCTGCCCAAATATGCCTGTAGAGACGAAGCAGGTCATTTTTTAAAAACGACGGATTCTTAAATCAGTCAAAACACACAGCACTCCTTACAAAAATGTACTACGACTATAATGGTTCAGTGATAATACTATTGTACTTTGATATATAAAATGGCACTAAATCATTACCGTAGTGATTTTACTCTACACTTAAAAAAAGGTTCTCTGTTGACAACGAGATGGTTCCATGAAGAACATTCATGGAGTCTTTACATTACACAAAAGGTTCTTTCTAGTAGAAAAATATTCTTTAGATTAATAAAATGTTCCTCACACTAAGAAAACTGAATCTTTTAAGAAATGGTACAATGCACAAAATGTTTTTAGATTTTATATATAGATATAAACGTTTGAAACCATTAGTTTTAAGAATGTAAGGTAATTTTAGGAATACCATGGTACTACCATTATACAGACTGGGGGAAAAACATGGTAATTTTTTTTAGAGATATATTTTACATACAGTATATATATATATATATATATCACATTTCATTTCACTCACTCTCACACACACACACACACACACACATAAACGTGTGTGTGTGTGTGAAATGTGACACAAAAATTGAATTATAGCAACATATAATCTGAAATTCAATGATATTTTACACAATATTAACTCGAAATTCACCACAAGTAGTTTTATTATATATTTAATTTGACTAAAAATATCATAATACTTTTGCACATGCAGAATGCTCTACAAAGTCCAAACAACATACTTAGCATAAAAAAATAGTAATAAATAAATAGTAACGTTAGTGAAAGTTAGTTTGTGGTCAGTAATCACGTGACTTCCGTCACGCAGTTTTCACCTGTAACGTTACTTTTATAACTTGACAGGTTTACTCCAAACCACAGTGCAGGGAAGATTCGCACTTACGGCGGACATCGAAGTGTTTCAAAGAACGCGAAGTACAACAAACTTGTGTTAGGGTTAATAACATCGATCCAAGCATAATTTAAAAACACAGTTTTTAAAAATCCAGTAAATCGAATCTTCTTCTTGGCGCCAGACGCTTGGAAACTTTCCCGCCGTTTTCCAGACCACGGTAAGAAAATCAATTTTTCGTGTTATTGTACGTCTAAAAATAACGTCCGCACGTCCTTCAGGCTTTTACTGTTCTAGCTGCTAATGGAAGTGGAGACACATTGCCACATAGTCTATAACTGAGAGCTGATAACTTGAACTAGCTTTACATTACTTGTTAGAACTTTCTATTAATAACATGACTTTGTAATTTAATCTCTGGATAGTGAGGCATCCTACTCTGCTCAGTGGTATTTTTGTGAGTTTAGACCACTGACAATACTGGTGATATCATGTGAACATGAATGAAACATCCATCAACCCAGAGAAGGTTTGACTAACTATAAGGTATGTGTGGCTTTATTTTGTGGTTTGTACCTCCTCCAAACGGAGCCCATATGACCCGTCTGATGGCTTTCACCCAGTCGTCCATGTCACTCTGGGAGTTGGCCATAAGTAGAAAGGACTCATGGCTCATTGCAGCCTTGTCTTTCTCACCAGCTGAGAGAGAAAACAAGAGAGGCAATCTGTCAGATGATGGTATTACTCTTTTTTTCCCCCCACCACTACATCACTGTTTATTACTCAAAGATTCATACATTCCTTCATATCTGGTACTTGAAGAGTTTCATTTTAAATAAATTCTAAGCTAAGGTATTTGTTTATTGCAACAAAGTTGAACATGTAAAAATTCTTAAAGGGGTCATATGATGCTTTTTTAAAGATCATTATTTTGTGTAACATAATATGTTGACATGCTTTAATGTTCAAAAAACACATTATTTTTCAAATACTGTACATTATTGTAGGTCCTCTATGCCCCGCCTCTCTCAAACGCTTCGTTTTCTACAAAGTCCCTCCTTCCGACAAGCGCAGTCTGCTCTGATTGGCCAGCTGACCCAGTGCATTGTGATTGGCCGAACACCGCAAGCAATCGTCGGAAATGTAAACACTCCAAAGAGAAAGGAAAACTTGAAATCGCATCATATGACCCCTTTAAACATTGCTGTTATTGCTTGCAACTAAGATTGTGCCAAGACAGAAAATGGCCGCAGATGCAAGAGCTGCTAGCTTTCTGTTGTTGCTTTTTAGATCAAATGAACAGCACCAATTTTTCCCCAAGATTTAGATACAGTATGTAATTATATTTATACATGTAGAAATGTGAATTTCTTTGCGCTGCATTCATTGTCATTGTATAATGGCAGTAAAGAGTTTAGGATGAAATAATAAAGGGTAGAGTATTTTTAACACTTTCAATCACCTTTTCATGGAAACTTGTTTCTGCCACTGAGTAAAAAAAGTTATTGCAAAAAAAGATAATTGCTACTTTTTATCTCATAATTGAGATACATTGTGAGTTATAAAGTCAGAATTGTGCGATATAAACTCGCAATTTTGTGTTATAGAGTGAGAATTGCGAGTTTATATAGGCCTATAAACTTTATATCACTTTTTTCTTCAGAACTGGACTTTATAACTTGCAATTGCGAGATTATGTCTGACAATTCTGAGAAAAGAAGTCCATATTGCTCGCAATTGCAAGCAAAACAAGTCAGAATATGAGTTTATATCTTGCAGTTCTTACTTTATTTCTTGCAGTGGTGAGTTTATATCCCATAATTCTGACATTATAACTCACAATTGCGAGTTTGTATCTCAGTTATGAGAGAAAAAGTCAAAATTGTGAGATAAAAAGTCACAATTACCTTTTAATTCTTTCTTATTCTATGGCTGAGACAAGCTTCCATACCTTTTAGGTAGTTTATTTATATGGTAATTTTGATATGTATCTCTTAATGCTAAATATCATAAAAATAAATAAATATCTTTACATACTGCAAAAAAATGTATAGCCTGAATGCACTGTAAGTTGCTTTGGATAAAAGCGTCTGCTAAATGCATAAATTATTATTATTATTATTATTATTAAATATCGTCATGTATCAGTGAGATATATTTAAGTTTTAGTATCAAACTGGTTCAGTCCATTTCGCCATCATTGGCATGAGCAGCTGAACACCTCACAAATCATATTAATTTAAAACAGACCTAGAAAGAGCCAAAGTAACAAAGACACTTCCCATTACCCATTGGTTTTGCAAAAGTAAAGGATAAAAAATAGAAAAACCTCCACAATGGCTTCAGTGTAAAGCTTCCCAGTGATAAAGGAAAAATCAGAAGCCAATACTGTGCCTAGAGGAATAAGTCATGAGTAGATAAGTGTTCACAGCAGTGTCGACTGAATGGAAAAAAAACAAGTACTGATGCAATTAAGATAAATAAGACAAGCAGACCCAGCGGTACGTCTGAGGCTAATGCTCTCACACAGAGTGGAAGCTGACTTGAAGGCATAATGAGGAACCGTCATTTCTCACCATGGTGTGGCATTTTGTTAGCATTCGTGTCTCTTTAGGAAGTGTCAGAATGTCTGCTGATCTTGTGGGCAGGGAAGAAATCGGCTTGTGGCGAAAGAATGCAACACTGACCTGATTAAGTGAATTCTGGGGTCTTTCTCTTTTTTTCAAACAACCAATTTGCATTTATTTCAAGCATGAAATACATGATTGAGCACAGGCTTTGACCGATACACAATTGTGTGCCGAGTGCTGATTGCGTTTCTTTTGTTTTATTCATGCCTTTGGCAGCATTTTATTTTCATGTGTGTTCCTTGGGAGTCGAACCCATGACTTTGCCGTTGCTGCAGGGACACGTGATCTGGATTATGTGCTGTGTAATTATGCACAGGACTGAAGAAGCTTATCTCAAATTGACCTTTAGAGACATATTACGAGCAGGAGTGATTATACTCCTTATTAACATCAACTGACAGATGCCACATAGCAGGCAAACACTATGTGAAAATAAACAGGCTGGAGGTAAAGCCTTAATGAGAACATCCACAACTGTTACACTTCTTCGGTGACTATATCGCCAGTATTGCTATCTGACTGACTTATTTTTCCCAGTTCAAACAGTAAACTTTTTGTATACATACCTGCAACCTTGGGGCCTTTCAGAATTCACCATTTCTAACACTGAAATAGGCCATTCAAGTGATTTTTGCAAATCCAAGGAGTTTTTATTTGAACTGACTATCTTCAGAAAAGTCTCAATGGCATTTTCTTGTCATTATTTCCATGTAATGCCTGCTTAAGTAGTTTATAAGCTATGTTTCTGCTTTTCCATAAGAGCCATCTATTGTGCATTTTCATTCAGCCCGTCTGTTCTTTTTGTTCAGACCAATGTTTATCATTTTATAATACTTGTTTTTGTCAAAACTTGTATTATTTGAACTGTAAATATATTTTTTTACAGTCTTTAATTTTTTTTACCATGTTACCATAGACATTGGCGTTGTTTCAAAAGAATGTTGCTACAAAAACATCATGTAGTTCTATTCTAATATTAGAATTCCACGATTTCAACTTCTGATTCCAATAATTTTTATTTTATTTTATTTTTTTGGATTGCAGGTATATGTACACCCAGTTACAAAAGTACTAACAAGTTAACAAGGTTTGACTATTTACTTGTCCTTTTGAACACTTGAAAGTGACATGCAGAAGGGTGTAGATTTCAGACATCATCTTGATTATAGTCCATATTAAAAATAAAAATACCTAAAAAATGAATATTGTATAAACGTTATTGAACAAGCTGTTGCATTATGAACAAACTATTCTGTACAAAAATAAACCACCATAACCCAGCATTTCTAGCCCTTTGTAATTTTTTTTATTGACTCCAACAATAAAAATCCTTGTAACTTCGATTTCTACATGCATAAACAAAGGTATTACCTTGGGGTAGTGGTGGTTTGTGCCTCCGTGGCTTACAGCAGCCCTGCCCCATGATGCACTGGAGGGATTGATCTGGAACTAATGTTCTGCCATGTCTCTTACTCCAACAGATTGGCCATGAACCCAAACACAGCACAAGAAGTTCCAGCACAACGCAGAATTCATGCTGAAGGTGTGTTTGCTTCAAACCATCACTTTCAGAAACGAATCTTCAATAGTTGTCAAAACATCTCAAACATCCCAGAGAGGATAAGAAAAAAACCTGGATCACTCTAGTCCATACTGTACGTCCTGGAAAACCAGTGAGTAGAAAATACTTTTGATGTCTCCGGTCAGCTCAAGCAGCACCACTTCTGTTTTTCTCATTCCCACTGTCTTCTCACAGTAGACTGACAGAAGGAGACGGCCTGCTCTGTTAGTCCTTTCTAAACACCTCAGTGCACTTAAGCAAGCAAACAGCACACCAGATGCATCGATCTCAGAGGACCTGATGCTTGGGGAAATCCTCACTAGCAGAAATCTGACTACATATCAGAACTCTGTTTAGCAAGCATGGGTTAGCAGATCCAGAGGATGCCAGGACTCGGGTCACAATCATGCTCTGTGACTCTATTCTAAATGCCTCAAACACAGAAGCATGAAAATCTCCCAATAATGCCAGGCTTTTCCCACTGGTTTAGATCCCATTTTTGTATCAGCTCTTGTCATTTATGTCCCTGCAATGAATGCTGCCATTGTTGGATATTTTTGGTTTGTATTTTCTTGTTGTACACAATCTACTACATGCCGTCTTTTTGCCGTTAAATCATTACTTATTTTTTTAAACTAAACAGAAATAACTTTAATACTGTTTGTATTATTTCAAGATAAACGTTTACTGGACTGAAGCATCTTAGCTTTACTTGATTATCCATGCATCATTTAATAGAAAAAATCATGTTAAATGTATCAAATATGATCATCAGGCTTTTGAGGAACGTTAATTTGTTAATCTCTCAATCATCATTACATTGCAGTTATATGTTTTGATTATAAAACTAAGCATTTCAATATCATCTTACTAAATGTTATTGGGAGATATAGAGTGACAACTCTATATGTAAGCAGTTATTCTGTTATAAAGATCCCATTGATTTACATTACAAGCATCAGAATTTCATCTTACTTTTTGGCCATATCAACATCGAATATCACCAAATTGCATATTTTTGCTCAGCTTGTCTCTTTGAATTAAAAAATGTTTTTCATCCTCAAGTATGAGCACTATATTATCACTATATCTATAAGACATAAAAGCCTGATGTATCAAATATGATACTCAAAAAAACAAACAAACACATATGCTAATTTTTTTAACTATTTATCTAAAGGCTCAATAAATTTGACTATCATTTCATATGGCATGCTTTACAGGGTTACAGGACCCAAAACTTCATATGATTTCATCGAAAATCTCAGTGCAGTTTCCGAATCTCAGTTTTATCTTGATTCAGTTTTTGAGTTCAGAGTTTGTGCAGTTGTTAATCAAGTCTTTCCATTTCTTCATTCATCAACAACAGACAAGGCATGCCCAGACAAATGCCGCACTCATTTTTAAGGCAAGAAACACGAGGGAGCTCTGAGATCTGCTTTGTGTCATGTTTTTGTTTGTTTTGCATGGAAAAGGGACTTTGCCAGTGAGATTGTTTGACTCGAAGGAGCTGAAGCGTGCCGGTCAGACGGAGACTGTGGTTAAGGGCTTTTCTCTGGGGAGGAGATGGTGTGTTGACTGATCTGACGTGAGAAAGTGCTGTTGGGTCTAGGAAACTGCTGCTAATGTCCCATGCTGTGTGTGTTTGGCTGTTTTATTTATTGTGTTTGGTGCATTACTTTGGCTAACACCGAATTCAGTTATCTAAATGTTTATGATGCACTTTAGGGGTGAAAAATTGATTCACTGATGAATCCTTATTGGATTGGATTGATCTTCAAAAATTAATCAGAATTTTACCTTTAGTATATTATATACCATACGTGCAAAAATATACACACCCCTAATGTGAATTGCTGTAGTTACAGGAAAAAATAAATACACCAGAATACACATTAACCAACAAGAATTTGATTATTTGTAACCAAGATCTGCACAGATTGATTTGTATTTTATTCCTATTCTTATTCTGCAGTTTTGTCATATTGCTGTCTCTGGCTTGAGCAGATCAGGGCTGCATTTTCAGAGATAAGAAATTCAATATTCCCCATTTTAATGTAATGAGCATGTGGAAAAGAGAGAATGGGAAACGTATGAGGCATCATCTTAAGGATTTAGAGAGAATTTAATATTTTGTAAACACTGAGTGGATTTGGAGGGCATTTAGAGGTTGACTTAAGTTAGCTGCGCGAGAGCTATGTAATTTATAGCACGGCTGTAATTAGATATTTGGTTTTATTTGCTCTATTGTTAAAAAAAAAAAAGCTCTGGTGGGTTTCGCACACATGTGTTATTTACTTGTCATAAAACAAATAGGCGTTCGGCATAAATCATGTTGGGCCAAATCACCCAAATCACCCCTCTGTAATCAGCATATTCTGGAAGGCCTGTTTGATTACCTGACACTCAAACAAAAGCCATATATACACAGATACGACAGAGATGATTTGAAGATCTGCTCACCTGGCACAATCTCAAAAAGGTGTCGCCCGGGTTCTTCTGGGTTGGCTGTCAGTTCATTCACTTGGCTGCCCTTCAGCGAGATGCAGCCCTGCACAGACGAATAGTTAGAAATGCATCACTTAGCCTATTAAATCAACCAGACTTAATTACCATGTACACTTGAATGTAATTCTTTAATCAGCATCAAGTCTCCTAGTCTTCTGAAAATGTGTAACCAGGCATTTTGAGCCTATTGTACTAACAAAAGCTTGAACACTTTAACATGTGGCAGTTTGCCACCATACACATTTTCTAAGTGCCTCCTTCAATTAGATAAACTATGAACTGAATGAAATCCAGAGATTATTCACCAGGGCAACAAATTGAATGAAGATTTGGGGTCAGAATTTCCCAAGTGCTTTTTGTCAGGCAACTGAATCTGTTTAGCAGTATTCAAGACATTTTCCTTTAATTGGTTGTTGTTTTTTTTAAGATGTGGATCAACTCCACACCCCCTACCCCCGCTGATTTATTGTAAGATTCACAATTTTAAAATTATTCTCGACTCAATTCATGGTCTGGGTATTAAATATAAAAATATCTTCTAAGGAAAGAAGTTGAGAGGTTTAAAATTATTACAAAATTATTATAAGCATTTTTCCTGTGTATGGCCGTCATGCATAATCATGCCTGTTATTTTTTTAAGTGATCAATCATTGGTGTCACTTCAGATTATGCTGCTAAGGTTATGTTGTAATGCTTAATATTTGGAACAATCCAAAAATTCATTAAAGGACATAACACACCCAGTTTCTGCCAATCTCATGTTAATCTTGAGTACCTATAGCAGGGGTCTCCAAACTCGGTCCTGGAGGACTGGTGTCCTGCAGAGTTTAGCTCCAGTTAATTAAGGTCTTACTAGGCATGCTAGAAACTTCCAGGCAGGTGTGTTGAGGCAAGTTGGAGCTAAACTCTGCAGGACACCGGCCCTCCAGAACTGAGTTTGGAGACCCCTGACCTATAGAGTAGTATTGCATCCTTCATGTCCCCGAAGAGTCTTTAGTTTTATCAGATTTATAAAAGACAGATACAGCTTTATACTTCACTCCAAAGACAGTCGAGCTCCTGGAGGCGTGCCGTGGGTGGAGCTAAAGAGTCACGCGCACGTGAGAATTTTGTACAGCGATCGTCTGCAAGCTGTGACGTCGACATAAATAAAACAGGAACAAAAACTTTATTGACTTAAATTAAAAATCAGATCCAGCCATATGTATTTGATTCAGAAACGGACCCCAATGACTTGAAGCACGTTGATGGGCTATACTCGAAAAAAACTTTCTGAAACTTATACAAACCCTGAAGGAGTGTATTTGTCACAGAAATAGACTGTCATACGTTCAACTCGTTTTTGAGACTTTGGTCATGTTTAGCATAATAATCCAACTCTTTAGCAGTGTAAATAAGTCAGAATGCATGAAATAGCATTAGACATCCCTTTAAACATCTTACCTTTGGGAATTTACGAAAAGTTGGAGCTGATCTTAACTTATGAAGTTATTTACGATGATTTTTAAGAACATTCATTTCAGGAATTTAAACTCTTAAGTTTCGTCTTTAGGTCAATTTTAATAAAAAAAGATAAGAAAATTCTTAAAAAATGTTTTGGGAATCCAAATATTCTCCAGTTCTCCTTCTGTATGAAAATGATATACCTTAGATCATGATGCATTGGACGTGAGGTCTGCACCGCACACCGTTCAATACGGCCTGTTCTCTGCTGTCTCCTTTCATCTCGCTGTGTGATTTGCTATGAGATTGCTACACAGCCCTTCCACTTTGAATCCCATTGATTAAAGGCAGCAAAAGTGGGAGGGTTGACATTTTCACACACATCCTGGCCAGCGCAGCATGGACACAGATTAATGGTGCTTGCATGAGTATTGACAGTCTCCTGTGAGGGACGCGGTTCATCACACTCGTCAGTCTGACTGACCAACTTACTAAGGCTGGACTGTATTGATTGCTTAATATGAGATGGTCAAAAACCTGCTAAAAGCAACGTCTATAGGCTTGGATTATGGTGGAAATGTGAAGCAACTGGTCGTAAATGGAGTTCACACTTCAATTTTATAGCTCTTTGTCACATGATGCTCTGTCATATAGTGCTGCCTATTGACTTTTGTTGGAGATCTGTCACACTCACTTAAAAAGAGGTGGCTTGCAACTCTCTGTGCATTTTTTTGCATTAAGATAAATTAGAAACCGTGAGATGTTTCTCAGCAGCATCACAACACCGCTAGTGAATCTACAGTGTGAAACATGCAGCGAACATTTGCGTTTATGAATAGGGAGACACTTTTATCCAAAGCGACACTGCTTGCAAGTTATACGTTTATTAATTTTATATGACTCTGAATGAATGACACTAATGAGCTGTATTTTTTAGTGATTAAAAAACACACAGTTACCAATATATTTGACTCCAGCATGTGTGACTCTTATGAGTGGGTTCATAATTCATATTAGTAAATCAAACACAGCTCAAGTTGCAGAATACAACAGTGCCCACTCACTTTTTCAGCTGTCCTTGTTCCAGAAGTATTTTTCCATTCAGTTTTTCCCATATAGGTGTTTTTAAAAAGTCTTTGTTTAAGAGTTATAAGCCATTAACCAAACCAACCAACTGGTGATTTACAACATTACAAATTATGATTTGAAGCAAAAAAATGTTTGTACAAAAAGACAAAGGTACAAGACTGTGTACTTATTGACTTAGGAAAAGAACTACAAACCCCATGAAGCATTATGAGTGACATAATCAAATGAAAAACAACAGATTATGATAAAACTACTGATTTAAAGATGTTGATTGTGAAAAAAAATCATTTTACGTTTATTGCAAAATATGCATATATGCACACACAAATATTTAAGTAGTTTGAGAGCGTAGGGAGACTCCATCACATCGTTCGCAGGTTTAAAGGTTTATGAAATAGCGTAAACAATCAATTCCCATATGGAGAATTTTTAGTCCTTGACTAAAGCAGGCTTGGCAGTATGTTTGTATGGTAGAAAGAGGCGTGTCTAGCTCAGTGGGTGTGTCTGATTCAGTGTCAGCTTACAGTACAGGACTTTACATGTACTGTAGAAGCCATTGGACAACCGTCTCCATAGTGCAGTGGTGCAAATTCAGAGTAGTTTAACCCCAAATTTTGTTTTTCGTAGACATACGTTTTTTGCTATGCATAATGTTTGGCAGTTAACTGCATGTACATTTTCAAAGCTGAACGCACCTGTGGTTTGGTTTCCTCCTCATCCTTGTAGAAGTAGAGATGGTCAGCACGCAGCACAAACCAGCGCAGCTGCCAGTTCTTCATGATGCTCCTCTGCTTCTTCAGCCAGCCAGCCTTTAGCACCCCCTCTTGGAGACTGGGTGAGGTGGGCTGGCATGAGCCACGTGATGCCTCTCCCATCACCATGCTCTTGGACCTGGCTGTAGGTGACGAGAAGAGACGTACATGTCAGTGATCAAGCAGTTGACAAGCATCAAGGAGGACAAGCACTTACAGTAGCAGAGGGGAAAACGGTCATCATGTACTCGTCTCGTGTGGAACACAAAAGCCGAATTGTAAGCTATTGTATGACTTCAGAAGACTTCATGAGTCATACCAACCACATTTTTATGAGACATTTATGGTGCTTCTGTGTCTTTTTTGCAAGCGTGGCAGCTTCAGTCTCCATTTATGGCATAAGTGCATGGAAAAATTGATCCACGTTATTTCTTAAAAATTACTCTGTGTTCCATGAAGGAAAGAAAGCTTCATTAAAAACATGTAGCTCAAAGATAGGTGCGGTGTTTCACCTGCAAGGCAGTGATTTGTTCAAAAACAAAAAACTAAACAGTCAGTGAATGTTACGCAATGATACTAAATTATTATTTTTTTTTATAATAATTCGAGTTAGTTGAGGTTTTTGTAATTTAGTTGTGTTTTTGTCATTTTTATAAGTCATCTTATGCCTCTGGGCTGTAGACTCAAAATCAATGTGTGGCTTTCAGAGAAAGGGAAGAAATCAATGAGTTTTTCTCAATTATATTATTATATTATATTATTTTTCACTCCCAATCCACTGGTGAGCTGGACAACTGACTGCTTCTTAAGTCTCAAATTCATATAGAGTCCGGAAGTATAAATCCCATTCATTTTATTGATTTTGAATGATATCTTAAATTTTTTTTTGTTGTTTTTATCAGCAATTTTTGTAAATATATTTCTATATAGTTTATAAAAAAAAAAATTATTTCAGTTTTAATTTTAGTACATCAAGATGAAATAAACAAAAATGAGAAATGCTGCTTTGGTAATTAGCTGACATATTTATTTCAAGTTACAAAAAAATGTTTTTTATGATTTAGTTATAGGTGACTAAAATAACTCCTCTATCAGGTTCTTTGTTTGCTCTGTGTTCAGCGTCTTCTCCCGCAACAGAATATGAAGATTCATCCTCTCTGCTCTGTACCAGTTACCCTCTGGTAAATTTATCTTGGGATTCTCCTGTATCACTTTCCCAAAGGGAGTGAGTTCTCATACTCTAATAGGATCTCCAGAGTGTAATTTAGTCAGAGGCTCACTGGATTTAGAAACCTCTGCAGTTTGCCTTTTCATGTAGTTAAGATAGAGGTTCCTGTTCAACTAGATACAGCACATAGAGTATAATTTAACAAAAATAGAAGATACTACCCTGTATCTGTTCCTTAATGGAAGTGAACAGATTTTGGTCTGATTTTTCTGATTTTATAATTTGGCTGATCTGACACAGGCCACACACACAAGCTGTGCTGCTTGATGCTTAAGACAGGACTACTGTATGAATAATCTGTGTCACCATTGATAATTTATAGGAGTCTGTCCAGCACACACAAAGTCATCTTATGCCTCTGGGCTGTGGACTCAAAATCAATGCGTGTGTGGCTTTCAGAGAAAGAGAAGAAATCAATGTGTTTTTAGATTATATTATTTTTCACTCCCAATCCACTGGTGAACTGGACAACTGACTGGTCCTTAAGTCTCTAATTCATATAGAGTGCAACAGTCCGGAACCTGAAGTAAAAATCCCATATTTTCTCCATAGGGAAATTGGTTTTGAATGAGGATGTTAAGCAATGGGATATGCTTTTGTTGAATCCATCACCCTGCATTTTCAAATTATTTTTTTAAATAATCATATTTAACAGCACAAGTCCTGGTGAAAACCCACATGATTCTGCAAAGAAATCTCCAACAATCAGAGAATTAAAACAAGATAATTACAGCTACATAATAAGTACAAATCTTTAGTACTACTCCCATGAAGCACTGCGAATGAGTTAAGAGTCAGTCTCCTTTATGCTTGCAAATGACTTATAACTCTTTAACAAACAAACAAATGGGAAAAATACTGGACGGGCACTGTTGCATTCTATTACATTCTATTTGCATTCTGTTTGTCGCCTCCACTAGAATGAAATGTTCAGTACAGATGTGGAGGGATTGAGTCAGGCTCTTAGAGAGACAAATGCGTGACGGCTGCTGGGTCTGTCTCCAATGGCCTTTTCCATAATGTCTCCTCCTCATCTGAGCTGCAGGCTTTTTGATTACATTAGCTGTGTCTATGGGTGTGGTGGGTTCAGTAGCCCTGCTCTGTGTAATGGAGACCAGAGGAAGACACAAGGGGGTGTCTGTGTGTCTTACTTGATGTGTTTGATACAGACAGAACTTCCATGTTCAGAATCCTGACTGGTAAAACTGGCAACATTTAGCTAGCATAATTATAGTTAGCCATCTTAAAGTGTAAGTCATTAGTGGGTATGTTAATATAAACAGGTGGTTTTTGCGGTTGTGGCTGAGTGGTTAGTCTTGTTATGCTGCGTGAATTCACATGATTCAGCCTAGTGCTGGGCGGTATACCGGTTCATACCGAATACCGGTGTTTATTTTTGTTATAATATGAATTTTTAAAATACCGCAATACCGGTGTATGTCGCTTAAACAACGTTCGGAACGCGACACTGTTTGAAAGGGGTCCCTTTTCACTGTTGCACTGTGGTGAGGACACAGCTGTATGTGTTACTAAGCGTGAAAGTTCCGGAACTGAAGCTGTAGAACTAATAGAACGTGATGACACAGAAGAACTCATCCACAATATCCACATTGACCGCCACAAATATCCACCGCCCCCTGCCATCAGCTCCCGCGTCTCACACACACGAGCGCGACGTTAGCACTAGATTTAGCAACTTTCAGACCTTTTTAGCGGCTTTTATCCATAGAATATTCATACTGACAAACCTAGCGACTTTTTTGGATAAACCTTAGCTATGGTTCAGTTGGAAGATTTCGCCAGTGCTGTCCCGCGAACACGAGATCTGACTTTCCCGGAGAAGTGTCGCCTCTCTCGTCGTCTGTTCTGTGCAGTGAGCGGCAGAGATGCAGCGCATTCAGTTGGCCGCACCGCAGCCGACTCGTCAATAAATGAGTACAAAACAGCGTTTCCTAGCACCTGTCGCTTACTGATTGTTTGGAATTATAAATATGAGCGTAGTTCGTCTGTTAATATCACATACACTTTTTTGTTTGTTGTTGTTTTTAGTTTGTGTGGCGAGGGGGACGTGGTTCAGCGAGGTCTGCACCGGGAGAGAGAGACTGACTGGGAACGCGAGCCACCCGGGAAGCCGGGCTACTGGAGCACAAAACATATATAGAGCTATATTCTGAGTTATTGACGGAGATTTTGAATGCGCAGTGAGCGCCTTGTTCTGTTGTATATACCGAGAGACTTAAATAAAAACTCTCCTCATGACAGTAAAATAGGGCATTCTAAGTCAATATACTGCAGTATTTCCTCTCTCAATCAGTAGAAAATATGGTTAACACCCTGTCATGCATGAAAAAAAAAATACCGTCATGTACCGTGAAACCGGTATAATTTTGAAAAATACCGTGATATAAATTTTTGGTCATACCGCCCAGCACTAATTCAGCCCTAAACTTGGTAGTGGCTAATGCCAATCTCATGTTTGATATTTAACCTTCATCACTCATTAAATTTTGACTTGGTGTGACGATCAGTGCAGCCTTTGTTTTAGTAGTTAAAGGAGAATGTAATTCTGCAACATTCTGTCATTTCTGCTAAACTCACGAAACGTACCTATACATACGAATCACTGCAGTTTCCAGTTAAAATGAACACCAGAGGCAGTAAAACTCAGACAACTTTTATTCCTTTTCATACAAAGTATGTTTTACAGAGGTTCGATTAAGAAAGCCTAATTTTACTTGCACAACATTGTTATCTATTATGTTTGCTCGGTAGCTCACGATACGGCGTTGCACTTGTGAGGTGAAGAGCTCTGGTACGAATCCTGTGAAAGTACGGTGCGACAAAACAGCTCAAACCCGCCTATAAGGAAGTTAAAATAGCACGGTTGCATCAGCGAATGTGTTTTTTTCTATCCCTTTTACCTCCGTTAAACATTATCGGTTCGTTTAGGGTTGGGTTTGGTGAAGGGGGTTTGTTATTTTCCTACACGATAGATAATCTTTTAGCGACATTCCACGGACATTTGAATTCTGAACTGGCATAATATTTACCTGAAGCAACGTAATAATAACGCAGCAATACGTGCTTGTTCCAAAGTAATAAAAACGCAGCAATATGTGCTTGTACCAACGTAATAAAAACGTGCCACATATTGAATGCATGTTTTAGCGCCACTCACTGGACATTTCACTTTGAAACTGCTGTGAAACGTGCAGTAAGGTATACGCAATATCAGTGTTGCAGAAACATCGCCTCAAGCACGTTATTTCCAGTGAGCCTGGGTTGGACTTTCCTTAGGCTTACAAAACATGCACATTTGTGAACATCATTTATAGCGAGTACAATCAGCTGTTAGTAATAATCACCATATTTTTCAAATTTATAAGTTCATCCAACATTATATATTTTTTAGGCACTGTATATTTTTTGAGAATATTATGCCGAAATGGGAACTTTGATGTGTTTAGCAGAAACACAAACATTCAGTGTTTTAAAAGCGTCCCTCAAAGCTGTACATTTGTGGAGCTCGTGCATGTTTTCACTGCACTCTGGTTTACACGAGTGTTTTGTGCCAATCAGTTTTGAGCGTTTTCAGTGCTGAAGTCAAATGGAACAGAGTGCAGACACCCAGTTTGCAAATCTCTCTACATGATGATTCATACCTTCCCACTTTGTCATGGGCGTTTCTAGGATGTGGTCACCAAAACTGCCTGTTTTGGCACAGACGGGATCAACTCTGAGAATAGTTGCCTCTAAAGTTGCAATTAAAATATAGTGGAAAGAATGTATTCAAGTTGTGCATGATGACAGTGTCAGAACTGGCGCCACGTTTGTGGCATATAAATTTGGCACCTTAGATAAACTCCACTGCTGGTTAAGAAACAACCTACAGTGTGCGTTCTCAGTTATCAAACTTTTAATGACGTGAATCCTAAATCAATGTGATTTTAGTATCATTGAGATACTACAGTTTTTATTAATGTTTTGAATTTTTTTTCTCTCGTTTTCATTTTTACAGGTTTAGGAGTTTTAGTAATTTTTAGTATATATGTCTATACAGTTTTTATTAAATTGTTTTTTGTTATTTTAGTACATCAAGTTAAACTAAATAATAAGGTGTTGCTGAAATAAGCAGTTTTTTTTAGATTGTATTACAGTTATCTTATTTCTTATTTATTTATTTTATGGATTCAATTGTTTAATAGTTGAATTATCTTATTTATTTAATGGTTTTAATAGTTTTAGTTGTAGTTAACTATAATAACCCTATTATAAATATAAAGGCATACAAAGTTAGTATAAAGGCATCTCTCTCTCTCTCTCTCTCTCACTCTCTCTCACTCACTCTCTCTCTCTCACTCTCTCTCTCTCTCAATATATATAAAGTGAGACAAAAAAATATTATGTTAGATATTATATGTTTTTTCCTAAATTAAATAATTGGTTTTATTTTGTTACAAGACAAGCACATTCCATTTAGAAAATGTTTATTCTGTATGTATAAATTATTTATTATTTATATTTATATTATATTATATTGTATATTAAATAAATAGTAGGGCTCTAGCAACATCAAGGTCCGATTGGGTTCTATTTCCAGGGAATGCATTAACTAAAACAATGTATACCTTCAATGCAAATCGCTTTGGATAAAAGCATCTGCATAAATATAATTTAATAAGTTATAATACAGTCAGATGGTCGTTATCGCAAAACAAACCCTTTCAGGGTGATGCAAGACCCTGATGCAAAGCAGAGAGGTCTTGAATTGTTTTTTTTTGTGATAATGACCCATTGACTGTACATTATTCAGTATATTACATGGCTTTTACCAAATAAGTGAATACATGACTTGAAATATTAATCTGAACATGAAAGTGGAAGAATAAATGAAAGTAGCGTATTTATGTTACCAGGGACAACGATCAGTTTACAGCTTGATGCTCTTTATACAATACATTTGACTGCAGAATGCTGTGATTGACCAATGAGAATCAAGTATTCCAGAGAGCCGTGTAAACAAATTCATGGCTCGTGCTTTAACATCTTCTCCGAGCAGATGCCTTGATGTTCAGCAGGTAGCATTAGGCTGGTGGGGGGATGGGCAGGGAGCTATAGGAGGCTTGAGAGAACATAAAGGGCTAAATCACTCAGCCTTTTACTTGCATTGAGCTTTGCTTATTAACACAGTGTCATCCATCAAGTTGATGCATGATGAATGAAGCCTTGTGCTTCAGATCTTCCCCTGCCTGTGTTTCACATCTCACCCAAGCCTGTGCTATAGGCTGCTGATGAATGATGATCGGCGCTCTGTGGGCGTGTGTGTTGAAGCCTCAGCGTGCTGCGGATGATAGTGGAATGTGTGCGCTGATGTTCAGCTGTTGAGGTGTAACATGCATCGCTGGACGCTCATGGTTTATCGTACGGTCGGCCACAACACAATGAGAGCGAAGAGATAAGACTTACTGAGTGCATTTATATTTATATTAACTCATTTAGCAGACGCTTTTATCCTAATCTTGTTTTAAATCAGAATTTTGATGATGTAAATAGTTGAATTATCACAGCTGTCTTACATAGTCGTCGACCGATACGGGTATTTATTTCCAAATATGGACATCTATTATTGCAAATATAATGCTGATATGTAATATAAGGTGAATGCAACTTAATTACAACAACTGAGATGTAAATATATACGCTGATACTATAAAATTTTTTATAATCAATATTGGCTAATGGCAAAATATCAGTAAATATCAGAATATGGCAAAATATTGGCGGATTTATTAGCCTAGTCAAATGCAATATATGTCACAAAAATATATATCTGTTGTACTCAGTCACATTTTTATGGGACAAATTACTAAAATATTACTAAATTATGTATTTTGTAATTTGCAGCTTTCATAACAGTTACACCTGCTTCTCAATTTTTATTTTTAAAATTTTTTTAAGATGATCATATCAATTATATATATATATATATATATATATCATTGATCAGTGGTATAATCGATAATCGCACAGTTCAAGTATCACGAGAGCTGATCCAGCCAATGTGCTGAGAGCACCTGAAGCAGAGATGCTGTGAGATGAAAGCACGTACAGCGTGTGGCCCCTGAGAGCCGACAGATGAAATACAAATGCAGCGTACTGTACCTCTCCTGGTCTGTCTGATCTTTGGACTCAGCATGGCTGCCATCGATGGGCTGCGCTTCCTCTGCTCTGCATATTCCTCCTCCTCAGATCTTCTCTCGGCACATTCTCCCTCCTGCTCCTCTCCTCCTCGCTCTCTCCTCTCTTCCCTGCTAGCTCGCTGACCTCATGTTGCAGGCACCGGCTGGATGGGGGCTGAGGGAGGGATTCCTCACTCACACACACACACTCACACACGCACATGCTCGCTCTCCGCTTCTTACTCACGACACACGCGTGCGCATGCTGGTCCACACCCACCAGGCGTTGCATTATTCATCATGTGCTCCTCTACATTGACCAGTCAGTGTGTATGATTACAGCAGGCTGCCCTGAAGAGCTATGCCGCCCGCCTCTTAATTGGTCTCAGGCATGTGTACTCGCGCTCCTCCATCTCTGGGGATTTCTCACACTGCCTGCATCTTTCAGATGTGTACACATATCTCCATTAGAGATGCGCACTATTGGACCAGTCCAGTACTGAATCTGCAAGAAACTAGTCAGCTGGTAAAATAGGACTCAAGCTAGTCACGAAATGTGCCTGTGAGCACCAGTCAGAACCAGTGTTATTTTAGTATCAATGAGATATTATTATAGTTTTTATTAATATTTTAACAAAAGTCTATTTTGAATAAATGTTGTTCTTTTTTAATTATTTTTTTCATCAAAGAATCCTGAAAAAAGTATCACAGGTTCATAGAAATATTCAGTTCCTGACATTGATTATAATATATATATATATATACTAGAATGATTTCTGAAGGATCATGCGACACTGAAAACTGGAGCAATGGTGCTGAAAATTCAGCATTGTATCTTAGAAATAAATTGTATTTTAAAGTTTATTAAAATAGGAAACCATTATTTTAAATTGTAATAATATTTCACAATATTACATATTTTTTCTGTATTTTTGATCAAATAAATGCAGCCTTGACGAGCATAAGAGACTTCTTTAAAAAACATTAAAAATCTTACTGATCCCAAACTTTTTAATTGCTGTTCAACACACATATATATACACACACACACACACACACAATAAATAAGTGATGACCGAATTTTCATTTTTGGGTGAACTATCCCTTTAATATATTTTATTTAATTATTTTAATTTTAATAAGAACAGATAAATCTTATGAAATTAACTTATTTTGAAATTCTCATATACAGTAGTATGTCATACTCGTGTTTTAAAATTGTTATTTTTTATTTTTTTTTATTTTATTTAAATGATTTTCACGTAATCCATTACTGGTTTTTACTGGATTACTAGGGTTATTTTACTGGATACTGGAGTGCTCAACTACAAAATTACTCAAATTGCCTGTCTCAAATCTCCATTTAGCGTTCTCTCCACCCTTTTTTTTTTTCCTCCTGCCCTTGTCTTCCTTTTCTTCCCCTGTCTTTTTCCTAAGCCACCCCCAGTATGGCAGATAATAGCAGCGGCTCCACCAGTGCGATTCAAATACGCTCAGCCCTGTAGACCACAGCTGCTCCTCAGAAAGGATGGGTGGGGGCGGGAGGAGGCCTGCAGAGCCCTGATGGAGACCTAAATGAGACGGCAATAAAAACCTCATTCAACCCACCAGGGCCGAGAGCTGCTGCTTCAGGCCGAGGGTAACCAACACTGAGCTGCCAATTCCTAAATATACTCTACCCTCTCAAATAAAGTGCTTTGTTCTCTCCCAGCTCGTGTTTATCGACTCGTGCCCTTTGAGGCTCCTTAATGACGTGTATGTTAAATGTGCGATGATTCTGTGTATTCGGAAAATCTCTCTGGAATTACAGCCTAGCTAATGTGAGGTCTGCCCGGAAAAATGCCCATCTACGTTTTCACGAAATGATTTATTTCCCATAAACATCCTATTCGGCAGATGCTTAGATGGGATGCACTTGACTGTCCGGTCATTTTATACCCACATGAGCTGTTTTGTTGATGATTTAGCTGTTTGTTCGAAATGCTTCTTTGTCCATTGCGAGCGGTCAGGATGTTTATTCTCTCAGTGATGTCGGATAATCAGAGCATCATTGCTGGATTCTTGATATTGAGATGTGTTTTGGACAATTTCTGGTACATGTCATGACTTTGAAAATATGTATTTTTTCATTAAAGATCCTATTCTGCTCAGGCTTAAGATACATTACCTTGAAGCTATACTGAAAAGATTGGCTGACGTCTGTCCTCGGCTGTAGCTTTCACATGACTCAAAAGAAGAAAAGAATCACTGATTTTTTATTCAAAATGACAGATGTCATATTTGAGAATCACATTAATGCTGCAGTTTCAAACCCTCAGTCAGTCTATTATGACATTTGGGAGCAAGTGTTCAATAGACCTTCGATCGTTCAGATGAATTCTGATTAGTGCTGTTGTTGCTCAGTTGACTGAGATGCAATGTCACATGACTTATTGATTTTACGAAGTATTAATAATTAAGGAGGGCACCTCCAGAGACATCACATACAGTGATGGAGCAACAGGAGAAGATTTTTAAAATGATAATGCAGACCTCATATTTGTGCCACCGGAGTCAGAAACTATTTATTTATTTTATTTATTTATTTAAATGGTTAAATCTCTTGAAATAAACTTATTTTGAAATTGCTATAAGGGTGAAGTCTTATGTTTGTGAATAAAACACAATATAATTTCTCCTGTGGTATGCATTATACTTATATTTTTAACATTTTAATTTGGATTGTTTTTAAGTAATCCATTACTGGTGTTATTTTACAGACTCGTACTCACAACATACAGAGTTTATTTTTCTTTCTTTGTATTTATTTATTTATGAAATTAACTTATTTTGAAACTCTTATAAGGGTGATGTTTATTTTTCTTTCTATTTATTTATTTATGAAATTAACTTATTTTGAAACTCTTATAAGACTGATGTAGTAGGGTTATATTTGTGAATAAAACAGTATAATTTCTCATGTAGAATGCGTCATACTCATATTTTTTGTCATTTTAATTTAAGTGATTTTCAAGCAATACATTACTGGTTTTTGCTGGATTACTAGTGTTATTTTACAGATCTTGTACTCAGACCACCAGAGTGGTCTATTAATTAATTAATTAATTTATTATACGGAAAGTGATAAATCTCCTGAAATTAACATTTTGAAACAGGTGATGTAGTCTAATGTTTGTGAAAAAAACAATATAATTACTCATGTAGAGTGCATCAATCAGATTATTATTTTTTTATTTATTTTTTTACATTTTAAGTGATTTTCAAGTAATCCATTGCTGGTTTTTACTGGGTTTCTGGTGTTATTTTACAGCTCTTACTTGGACCACCAGAGTCGGGGCCTATTTTCTGTGGAAAATGTTTGTTCCTCCATACTATTTTAGCTTCACTTTGATCCACTTTAGCCTAATAGCAGTGCTGAGTTTAGTTTACTTTGACTTCTGGTGGGAGTAATCAGATTACAGACCTCATTCAAATTATTTATTTCAAGAATCCTCTGTATTTATGTTCACTGAATAAACAGAGAGAAATCTTTTCAGACATTTAAAATCACTTGTCATGTCACGAGCAGATCCTCAAAACAGTGCCAGTGTGGGAGAATCAATAGAATTGAGCCGAGCGTTAATTAGGAAACTGTTCCTCAAGAGAAATGAGAAAAAAAAATCAATATGGACATAATAACATTCACCAGCACTTGTTCTTCTTCACAACAAAAGTAGATGATTGTGAAAGTCATTAATCTATTTGGTAAAGCACTGTCATAAGTATTTGGAAGGTATTGCTGACCTTATAAGCTCTTATAAGTTTCATTCTGCCCAGATCTCACTTTATTTATAGTTATTAAGCTCATATTGCCATGCCCCTTTGAAGTGACTAAATTGTGATTTAAGTAGTTAATTATCATTGGTATTTCCTGAATACATATCAGATTTTAGCTTCAAATATTTTACGTTTATATTTATTAATGTAGCCTAAAACTTTATTAAATACATAGCAACATCATAAACCCTTAAAATTACAGGTTTAATGCTCACACGTCCCAGATGTGATTGTAATGTCACTGTAGCTCCTTTAGGGGGCAGCAGTGAGAACTGAGGCTGTTTAGTTCTTTGCTGCTCCCTAGAGTTGCATAGAAGCTATTGCATGATAAACCTGAACACAAATGCTTTTTGTCCGATTGATAGTTTATGCTTTTTTTTTAGCAAGTAAAATGTCTTTTAGTGTAATTGTAAAAACGTCCACCTTCAGGTTGTGGTACACTGCTGTGAAATCTTTAATGATTTTCATGAAGTAACCAACATTATACATAGATAACATCTGCACCAAATTGCATATTTTTGCTAGTTTGGGCCTCTGAATGAAGCTGAGGTCTATGAGGAGTATGAGCTCCACTAGTTCTCACTACATCATACTGCACCAGCCATAAAAGCCTGATGTATCAAATATGATACAAAACAAACTGAAACAATACTAGTGGACTATTGCACAAGGCATTGATATTGTGTTTTATAAAAGCCAGTGAGATGTAAGGAATTGGATTCAGACCCAACAACTCAAGACTACCTTCTGTCATTTATCTTACATTTCACATCAGTTATCTGAATCTTCACAGAATCAATGTTCTTAATTTGTGATGTGAAAGTCAATGATACACCAAAAAAAAAAAAAAGACAGCTCTCTCTTTTTCTTCCTTTTTTTTCATATCTCATAGAGATACATTGGGGATCCCATTATGAACATGCAACAATTGTTTTCAAATGAAGGAAAGTTTATTGTGATTTCATGAAACGAAACAGTAATGCAGTGTTTAATGCAAATTTAAATGCACATTTAGACAGGATTAGGATCTAAATGACAAAATGTGTTCAACAGTGGTCAACACGTTCAATGCGAACCGGAGTAAAATCAATAATGAATGTTCCATTAAAGTGTTATGAATTAGATCCCCTCTTTACCTATACACTCTTAAAAATTAAGGCTCCCAAAAGGGGTTTTCGAAATTATTCGTTAGAAGAACCATTATTGGTTCCCCAAAGAACCTTTCAATGATCAGTTCTTAAAGGGATAGTTCACCCCAAAAATGAAGATTCTGTC